CTTTCGGCTGCTCTTCACCGACTGTGCCCAAGGACACAAAGCCATTCGTCAATCCCACACCGCCCCTCATTTTCTTGGCGTTTTCTTTAGTTTTCACCTTCCACCGGGCAATATCCGTAGGTCTCTTGTCCCCTCCCACTCCAAATGCCACCGTCACGCGCCACTGGCAGCTAACGGCTGTCCTCAAGAAGTCCCAGCAACATGGCACGGTACCCCACGAGCGAGACGGTGCTCTCTGCGGCGCCCGTCACAGGGTTATAGGCCTCTTGCATCATCGGGGACCCACCGCTAATCTCCAACATACACAACCGCAGCCGCTTGAATAGCTCCCCTGCCGGGTCCCCGAGAATGCCAATGTATTTCGTTCTCAGAGCGTGCAACATCAGGACGTTCGCTGAGAGCCACACGTGACCCATCCAGCGGTTCTCGTGGCGCAGACCCGCATCACGTGCCGCGCGCACTGAGTCGTACGAAACAGACATCAGGCCGTAGCGGGTCATCAGCTCCGTCTTGGCAAGTTCAACGATCGTCAGTGCACGCCCCTTGTTGTCGATGATCCCAAGAAGAAAGGGGTAGAGGTTGACATACCCTATGTACGGCGAGAAAGAGTCACCAGGGCAGCCAGCACGGTCGGCATAGCGCTGATTTGCAGCATCCCAGTGCACCGTGTCCAACCAAACCGTCCAAAGCCGCTTGGGAACAGTCTCAGCGGCTCCCAAATGCAGCTCAACATCGCTGATGATCGAGCTCAGCAGTGCAACCCATGAAAAAAGATCCACATGCGCCTCCATTCTGTGGTAGCCGGGGCAAACAGGTCGGGGGTAGTCTGGCACACGGACCAATAGTCCCCTCACTGAGTATTTCATTGATGAAACTGAATGCCTGAACCTGCGCCCCAAAAAAAAACCCACCGCACTTGTGTTGTCATCTCAGTGGCTTTTCCATACGTGCCGTCGCATGCCCGCAGAAGCGTTTTGGGGCGGCAATATTATGGCGCTACTGCTCCGCGTACAGCTTTTGCGCCTTCCGCAGTTGCTATCTTATTTAGCGTAAAAAGCCAACAAAACACTCAGGCATATCCCCACCATCTCCATTCGATGCTGTGAGACATACAACTGCTTTTTTCTCTGTGTGGGCCTCTCTTCTCATCAAATTGCCACGTTATGTGATTTTTTGGCGATCGCACACTTGATTATGTGGCCTATACACAGCCAGAAACTCATTTGGTTAGATTTTTCCGTCGTTCGAGAGCAATTGTCGTCAAGAATTGCCCCACGTCGGACCCGGCAACATATCTTTTCCTACTTCTTGAAAAAGAGGCGTTATTTGTCGGGCTTTTCGACAAAACCCTCAAAAAAAAATAGAAGCCAGTCTTTTGTGTCTTGCACGTTGTGTTACGCTGAACCTAAACAAACAGAGTATAGCGCTGACCTTCCCTTTCAGAACTGAAGAAGTAAGTAGCCAATGAGACAGCAGAAAGCAGCCATTTTATTGTTAAAACAGAAGTGCATTTGTTGTTGTTGTTTTTACTTCGCAGGGGGTTTCATAGCGGTTAGTGTCTCAGTGCAATTATAATGGTAAATTAGAAAAGAGCAAACAGAAATGTTGTGCGGTTGGCCGCTCTCCCAGCTGCCTGCGGCACGGGCTGTCAACGTCAACGAAGCTTGCTGAATCCAATGTTTGCCGCGTTCTCACGGAAGCACTGGCGGCATACGTTGAGCTCGTACTTCCGAATAACCGCCTTCTGGTTCGAGCAGATCACGCAGTGGCGAGAGCCCTTGCCCATGCCTATCCTCTGCCGAGAACGCCATTGTTCGAGGTGGCCCATCGTTGTCTTGAGTGTATTGGGAAGTTAAGAGAGTAACTCTGGCACTGCGCAGCACATGAAAAAACAACCAAAAAAAGAAGACGCAAACAAAATCACAGAAGAAAAACCCACAAGGCGCAACCAACAATCCTATCCTGCAGCCAAAGAATACAGTAAAGGACAAGCACGCACCCCCGATAGGGCCTGTTTCCCTACTCCTACAAGGGGATGTACCGCAAAGAAATCACAGTTTGGCTCGGTGTGCCCAACACACACACACGCACACAAACAACACACACCGCTTCAGAAAAGATTCATCCACCACCCAAACGGCAACAAATAAACTAATGTAAAATGGGCTTTTACCGCCACCGGACTTGCTGTGAACTGACAAAGTGGTGGCGCTATTTGGGGCCCCGCAACCGCCGGACCCCGCCGCGTGGAGTGTGGCAGCAGCAGCAGCCAGCAGTAGGGGGCGGGTGGGATAGAAAAAGAAAAAGCTTCGCTCCCTGCCACCCAACGCGGTATCTTTGGAAAGAAAAAACAGGTCATTGACAACAAAAAAAGGCAGTTGAGCCAGAAGCGCCATGATCTTTCCCAGCCCCACCGGGTCGCACGCTCGTTGCAGGAGCTCCTAATAAAATGAAGATGACGCCATCGTCACCACCCGCTTTCCACGAGTCAACCCCTCACGCCACCAAGACCGCAACGCGTTTGTTGCGGGTCTTTGCGTGTGCGTTTCCGCCGCCCCTTCTTGCTGCGGCATTGTGCACCCGACTCACCACCTTCTTTCGGCTGCTCTTCCACCGACTGTGCCCAAGGACACAAAGCCATTCGTCAATCCCACACCGCCCCTCATTTTCTTGGCGTTTTCTTTAGTTTTCACCTTCCACCGGGCAATATCCGTAGGTCTCTTGTCCCCTCCCACTCCAAATGCCACCGTCACGCGCCACTGGCAGCTAACGGCTGTCCTCAAGAAGTCCCAGCAACATGACACGGTACCCCACGAGCGAGACGGTGCTCTCTGCGGCGCCCGTCACAGGGTTATAGGCCTCTTGCATCATCGGGGACCCACCGCTAATCTCCAACATACACAACCGCAGCCGCTTGAATAGCTCCCCTGCCGGGTCCCCGAGAATGCCAATGTATTTCGTTCTCAGAGCGTGCAACATCAGGACGTTCGCTGAGAGCCACACGTGACCCATCCAGCGGTTCTCGTGGCGCAGACCCGCATCACGTGCCGCGCGCACTGAGTCGTACGAAACAGACATCAGGCCGTAGCGGGTCATCAGCTCCGTCTTGGCAAGTTCAACGATCGTCAGTGCACGCCCCTTGTTGTCGATGATCCCAAGAAGAAAGGGATAGAGGTTGACATACCCTATGTACGGCGAGAAAGAGTCACCAGGGCAGCCAGCACGGTCGGCATAGCGCTGATTTGCAGCATCCCAGTGCACCGTGTCCAACCAAACCGTCCAAAGCCGCTTGGGAACAGTCTCAGCGGCTCCCAAATGCAGCTCAACATCGCTGATGATCGAGCTCAGCAGTGCAACCCATGAAAAAAGATCCACATGCGCCTCCATTCTGTGGTAGCCGGGGCAAACAGGTCGGGGGTAGTCTGGCATACCACTGGAAGGGATGCGATATTCATCACGCGAACGCCACCGATATCTTGGCGGTGAGCTTTTTTCAGTCTCATTCGTTGTTTCTGCGGCAGCAAGTGCTTCTAGGCTCATTTTATTATCCCCTGAGCTCTGCGTCTTGTGAAACCATGTCCGCCAACGACGCAGGTGTGGCAGTACAAACTCAAGAAACTCCTTATCAGCTGCCTCTCCCTGGTAACTGCGTAGTAATTGATCAAGTGCAAGAAGAATGGTGGGAGGCGCAGCAAACGTCAGGCATTCGTAGCGTGCGGAGGGTGGAGCAAATGCACGCGATGCCGCCGTAAGGATTGCCCTATGTGGAATAAAGCCGCTATTGCTTTCTTGAGCGCCAACAAGCCAAGAAGCAATGGCATCCTTTGTCCACTCCTTGTTCCAGCGTATAATAAAAAGGAGATGAAATCCTGTCAGGGTCATGTCACCGTACGAACTCCCCACTCGAGAAGCCACTGCCCCAAAAGCAGACACATCAAACGCTGCTTCCCGTAGTTGTTCGTCCGATTGAACTCTTGTCAATTTTCCTTGCTCGTCCCATGAAGCGTCAAGACTTGGATCCAGGTAAAGGTATCGCCCATGCCAAAAGCCCCACGAGCCTAGCGCCCCGCTGAGAACCCGAAAAGCTCTGTTGATGTACAGCTTGCGATTGACATGAATCCCCTTTGTCCATGGAATTAGCATTTGGCGCATCTGATACAAAACTTCTTTCTCCCGCGCACGGAAAGCGTTGGTCAGCTGGCATGTTGTCAACGATTCGTAATCTGCCATAAATCGTTGGTGTGCTGTCGCATCAGGGCCAGCTGCCACAAGATGCGAGGCGTGGCGCATTGAAAGTTCGACCCGAAAGTCTGACTCATATCTCTTACGAAATATCATCACGTTGTGTGTTTCGTGCCCAGTCTTGAGAAGTGGCAATCGCTCTACCCCAGAGAAGTCAATTTTACACGACTGAGCATTTAAATGCACGTTACGGAGATTGGTGCCACGAAGAAACTCACCTTCGGCAGACCGCCACCCATACACTTGCCAGGAAGCGACCGTAAAAAGGGGGTTATGATCATCGCGAAGAAGCAAATTAAAGCCTTCTCGACGCCCATCTGCATCTTCGAACTCGCTCTTGATCTGCGGATCCCATGAACCATCGGTTGTTGCCAGCTCAGGCTCGAGGGCGTCACCCCCCTCGTTCACAACGTAAACAAAAAACTCAATAGGTTTCGCTCCATCCATCTGGCCATGAACACGGACGTGCCAACTGTCACCTGGAGGACTCTTGAGAAACTCAATGTTTATCTTGGCTGGGCCATCTCGCACAAAAAGATGCCCGTAATGGACGCCATCGTGTAGTGTCCAGGCTGCTTCAAATGCACCTGTCTTTTCGTCAGAGACCATGGTGTCATTGCTGTCCCGACGTCGCTCTACCGACAGCACGTCCACCATCTTATGACGGACGGGGTGTAGGCCTGCCTCGTCGTACCAGGCAACTCCAATGTACACAGGCTTTGGGGTGCGTGTCTTCATGGCAAAAAGGAGTCCAGGCTCATATGTT